TGAGTGCCCGGGCCGAGCAGGGCGTGCTCGGCGGGGCGGCTCCAGATGGCCCCGTCGCAGGCGCCCACTTGCTGGCATCTCTGCAGCAGGCAGGGCCCCCTCCCCAGTCAGCCTGGCATTGGTCTGTAGGGTTTGAGAGACTTATCATTCCAAGTCTGTCCTACTTTCCTGTCTGGAAGCCAGACATCTGTTTATCCCATTTTCTTTCATACAGAGTTTGGAATAGCTTTAGTCTGGGGAGGGGGGTGGGGAGTTTTGTCATATTTAACAGCTGTTACAAAATTTCAACCCTGTGGGCTCTGAAAATACTTCTCAGCTGACCTCAGATTTTTTATACATAACTGACGTTGGGTTGTAGAAGAATCTTATTTACTTAACCTTTCATTGTCTACGATTTCACATTGCCTTTGGTCGGACGCGCTAACTGTCCCCAGTTTCAGCTCTGCACCCTCCTCCATCCTCCAGGCCCCCAGAGCCTCACTCTGATTCATTTACGAGTTTTAAGTTTACACCTTTAAAGTGATTGCAGAACAGTAGCCGAAGACCGATTGGAGATTTTCTTTCTTTCTCTCTCTTTCTTTCTTTCTTTTTTTTTTAGTCAACAGTGTTTCCTTTCACTTCCTGTCACAAAGGTCAAAGAGAGCCGACCTTTGCTGGCAGTCCTCCTCACTGAATTATTCATGGCATTGACTTTTTGTCAGCACACACAGTTGTGCTCTGGGACATTTTATTCATTTACCTCATTTAAAGCGCCTTTCTGCACCTGTTCAAGTATTAATATCATGTAATTTGGGCCTAATGCCGATTTTGCTGAACACTCATTATATTTTTTATTAGCTATATTTCCAAACGATTATGTATGATTATTACCAAGCCTTACAAACAGCACCGGGCTATTCCCTAGCCCCTTACATCTTCTTGTCAGGTTGTTTTCAGAAGCGGGGAGGATAAACATTTGACCAGTCCCAATGTTTTTATTCCTACTCCATCTCCAAGCAGAGAACTTAAGGCTTCCTCCCTCATGGCTTTGCACGAGCGTGATTAAATCCAACTCTGAGGGAGCTGTACAAATGCCAGCATTTATAAGGTCAACGCTTTTGTTAAAAATGCTATGTAAATGAGGATCTGCAAAAAGGGACATTAAATAAAATTAAATTCATTGTCTTCTTTAATGTCATTTACATTTTGGCTAAGCCCCGGCCTGTCAAGGAGGATTTTAAAAATAATTTTAATTACACATCATTTAGGGATCCAAGGTTTTCTATTCAGTAGCATTTGGATAACCTGCAAAACAGAGACTGTTTATTAACTTCTTAAACGACAACTTGTCATTTCATCTGCATAAGGCAATGAAAACAGTATAGTTCGGTGCTAATTTCTCCTTCTCGGTTTCCTTAAAGATGTGAATATAATTATCAGCCAACAGGCCTGGGGTCCCGGAGTCCTCCTCTGGGTGTGGGCTGGCTGTTTGAGACGCTCTTTGGTTCAGGATCTGTTTTAATACATTGGGGCTTCAGTGCAGGGAAAATGTTGGCGAGAAATTTGGCAATACGAAAGCACACTTTGGATGAATGGATGTGGCTACAAAGAATCTGATTTTGCCTGGCACCCGCCCCACTTGGCTTCTCCGTGCTCAGGTGTGAATGGCTGTCTTATTCCCTGGCACGCCAGTGGAGAGAGGCAAAAAGTTCAGCGTGCTCATTCATCCTTTAAAAAATTTTTTTTCCATAAACTTCTGAAAATAAACAGAAAAGGAAGAGCTGTAGTATTGAGTCACAATGCCATGCTTTCATTTAAACGGGGAGACACCAGAAACAGTTGCCACTTTGTATGTTTCCTTCTCCCTGGGAGCCCCGGGATTAGAGAGTTGACATCATACATGCTAAGTCTGAGCACCGCCCGCCACTCCATGCCAGCGTACAGCCGCCGGCCACGCTGCTGCAGAGCCGTCACCAGGCCCAGTGCCTGCATCTCTGGTCTAGGCCCAGGAGGCCTGCAGAGATTTATGGCTGCCTGGCCTGGGTGAGGACTCCACGGCCAGGCCAGTCGAAGGCCGGGTTTTAAAACAAGCCACACACCCATAATGACTTCCGCAACACTCTGAAACAGCTCTGATTCTTGTCCGCTTGTGCAAGGGAGAAGCCTCTCCGGAGCTGCCGTGCACGGGAGCCCGGGAGCTGCGCGCTGCCGCCGGGTAGGAAGACGCGGGGGCGAGGGGAGGGGCTGGCGGCAGGGCTGTCAGAAGCTATACTCCAGGAGGTATGTTGACGCAAGCCATCCCGCCCCTCTGCGGCAGCCTTATCAGGTGAAAAGCAAAGATATTGCCAGTGCCTGTAATTGTGTTAGGATGGCTTGGATGAATTGGATTACCTTATGGAAAGCCGTCCAAACTCCGGGTTCTGTTACGCATGCTTACAGGAAGCAAATAATTACTCTCTGTGCACCAGGAGATAATTGGGGCTGGCCGGAGGCCTTCTCGCGCCGCCGAAGAAAGCGGGAGAAGCTGGCCTCGGCAGAGCATTTAGGAGACAGACCGGGAGGACGGGGACCCTCGCTGCCTATGGGTGGCTCACGCTGGTGCTGTAATTTTCGGTTACTTTTCAAGGATGGTGAATAATTTATCAGAATTCAAACTAACTGTGGCAACGGGCGGCACGTTGGAGGAGATAAAAAATTCCGAGCTCTAATGATGGAAATTGTCGTTGCAGACAGGAAGTGATTGACAAGTAAGGGTACAGGAAGTGAAAACTCAAGGAGCTTAACCTGTACTTGGCAAAGCTGCGAGAGCTTGCACTCGGAGAAAATGGAAACCATTCAGGCGGCCAGCTCGCCAGAACACAGCTCCTCTTGTTTGTTTATCTTCCGAGCAAATCTCCCAAAAATGTTTGTGGTCAAAACTCTATATAATGAGACATTATGCCGGTATTATTAGTGCTTTAAAATAAAAATCTGGCTATAATTTAGAAAAATAAGCTGAGGAATTTTACGTGTTATGGGTTTTCTTGGTTGTGTTTTATAAGCTTCTTAGATTTTGGGGTAACGAGCGTCCGTTACATTGTAGAAGCTGGAAGGAACTGTTTTCAGGACTGTTTATTCAGAAAGCAGTCAGTAATATCTGTCAACGTAATAAATGCTATGAATTTGCAAACAATTAGATGAAGAGCGCTGTCGGGGGTGGGGGCCGCCGTGGTGGTACTGGAAAGCTCTCATTCTGGTTGTTTCTGAATCACTCATTTCCCCTTCCCTTTAAAAACAAAACAAATGAAAAATATCCCTCTGCAATTCCTGCACTGGAAGTTGCTCAGCTAGAAAATACTGAAAACGCACGCCGGCCGCGGTGCCGAAAGTGGACGGAGTGCATCGTCTGAGAGCAGTGGAGGGGGGAGCGCCTTGCTTTCCCAATAATTCACTAGGAAATGAGTTTAACATGTGCGGAAAGGAAGGGGCTCCAGTGGTGTTGTTGTAGGACCCGGAGCCCAGGCCCCACCGGCGGAAGGAGTCGGCTCCAGAGAGTCTCTGCTGGACGGGGAGCCAGTGGCTGCACATCTGGGGAGGAGGCCAAGCCCAGACAGGCAGCTCCAGCCGCGCCCCTGCCTCCGCCCCGCCCCTCCCCTCCCCCTCCCCTCGCTCTCAGCAGAAGGCAGCTGGGGGCTGGGTGCCATGTTAAAACAACAGAACGAAACTTGGGCAGTGTTTAAGGCCCGGAAAATATTTGCCCTTGTGATGACAAATTTCCAAAGGGGGAAGACCAGCCTTGACCCTCGAGGCTCGCCCTCTGAGAGGAAGGTTTCAACGAGGGTGTCCTGCAAACCCGCACAACCTCACCCTTGCTGTGAGTTTTTGTCGAAATAGAAGGCTTTCACTGCAATGGCCAGTCTGGGTGTTACAGGGTTGCGGAGCACAGGTCTGGAGCCCACGCCCAGTCTGGGGCCATCGGAGGATGACACATGTGTGCAGCAAGGCGCGGAATTTGACTATGTGCACCCCCAGTGTGTATGGGGGAGGGGCAGCCAGGCCACCCCAACTCTGGGCAGGGTTGGGGCCTACAGAGAAGGCCCAAAGCGGGAGGGTCCCCCTTTTATTTTAAATAACACCGCATAAAGCCACTAGGCATTGGGGAGGGGGAGGGTGCTCCCCTCCAGCCCTGTTGAGGAGGGTATCCTCCTTGTGGGCCCCCTGACTTTTCTAAGACCTTCAGCATCAGGGAATGTGGTCAGCAGGCACCTGAATGCTGTTCTGACAGGTACATGCCGGTGTCCCTTCCAAGTTGTCGTGGCTTGGAACCACTTGTCCAGCTCTGTAGAATGACATCCCACGGCCAAGAGGAAAGCCAGGGAGGCACGAGAGGTGCTGGGGAGCTGGTGGCCATTGGGCAGGGACACTGAGGCCACACCTGCACTGGTGACACCCATCTCAACCTGGCATTTCTTCCTCTGCGTTTGATGTAGATGCCAAAGTGTTCTGATGACATTTTTGGAAAAATTAATAGACTTTATCTTTTGGAGCAGTTTTAGGTTTACAGACACATGAGCAGAAAGTAAGGTCCCTGTATTAATACCCACTCCTCCCAGCCACCCCATTTCATCTTGGTACCATCTTGCAACAGCGAGGTTCATTGCTACAGTCAGTGAGCCAGCGTTGACACCTAACGTTGATACATCGCGATGAACTCAAGTCTACAGTTTACGCTAGGGTTTGCTCTGGGTTTTGTAGATCCAATGGGTTTTGACAGATGCCTGGGGACGCGCATTGTCCTACAGAGTCGCTCCCCCTACCCCAGTCCTGACCTCCTCTGCGCTCCGCCTCTTCACCCTCCCTTCCCCTAAGCCCTGACACTGATCTTTTCACTGTGTCCGTAGTTTTACCTTGTCCAGAAAGCCATAGAGTTGGAGTCATGTAGCATGTGGCCTTTTTGGACTGGTTTTTTTCATATACAAATACACATTTAAGTTTCTTCCTTGTGTCTTTGTGGCTTCAGAGCACTGTGATAGTTTTTGAATTTCAGGGTTTTTTTTTTCTCTTCTTACAGGTTTCTGGACAATGTTTTTCCTTTCATTTAATGTCTTGGCGCTTTTGTGATAAACTCCTTCACCCCTGAGTTTATCGAAGGCCGCCGTGTTCTGATGTTTGGTTATTGTCTGTGGGGTTCTTGTGATTTTGGAAGTTTACATGTCCTACCCCATTTTTGGGAAAAAAAAAAAGCAACTGAATCGTTTGCAAAGAAATAAAAACATTTAAACTTTTTTTTAACCAAGAATTTATTTAAGTGGCATGACTCTGTTTTGCTTATTATCAGGTTTTTTTCACCCTAAATAATACTTTTTTATAATATTTAAATAGCGTAGGCCATAAAAGGAGAATGATTAAATTATTGGGAAGGCGAACATGCTACCCTATGGCAGAAAAACTGAATGCATTCAACACCGAGTGTAGCTGTTGGCTTTTTTGGTTTAATAAATTAAACTACAAATTTTCCTAATTGCCAAACAAAATGTTAGGCCAGCTTTAGCCATTGCTGACAGTAAAACACAACATAAAACCTGCTGAGAGTTATATGTGGTATTTAATACGAGACAGAGTAATGCAAGGGTTTTTATGGTTAAGTATGAATTCACACCCACAGCATTTGTTTCACATTAGGAAAGGTTTGTAAATCAGATCAGTGTGCGGGGATGGGGTGGTCCCGGCAGCCCCTCGGTGTCTCTCCATCCTGATATTTGGTTGTTGGAAATGCTGCCAAAGGGGAACTCCCCATCCATTTCCATTTTCTCAATGAAGCGATTTGTCCTCTGACATCAGGAAGATTGGGTCAGGAAGTAAGTGGGGGATTGGATCAGACGTGATGCTCATCCCTGCCGTCCGAGGTCATCGGCCGGATCCGGCCACCGGGCAGCAGCCATCAGTTATGAGACGCGGGCTGCCCATCGGTCCTTGGCCAGCGGGGGCCCCAGGGAGAGGTGGGGGAGGATCTGGGAAAGTGCTTTCAGGGGGAAAAAAATGGCAATAACTATCATTTATTAAATTTGACAAGCGAGTTCTAAATATAACAGCCCTTTCCCCAAAGATCATTACTTTGAACAAATAAATGAGTTATGCAAGTTAATAAATGGCTAGGTTTCCCATCCAGAGGTGTGCCTTTGTGTGGCTCAAAAAATAGACCTGGCTCTGTCTCCCACCCCCCAGCAAGTGACTGACTCTCTCCCACTTGGGCTGGTCACCCAAGCGTTTGTGGCGGCCTCACCGCTCCGATGGAGTCTGTAGGCGGGCCAGCGGCCATGGAAGAAAAGCTGTGCGGTGGAAATAAACTCGCCTTGGTTCTGAATAATCTAACACATAGATGTGCTACATAGTTTTAAAGAGGCTTTCCCATGTGATCGTAAATAAAGTGAGGTCTGTAAGTACAGTTTAACTTTAAGAAAAGAAAAAATGTGGCTGTTGTAAGTCCTGTGGTCAGAAGCAGGTTTGCGGGGCCAGCGGTGTTTGTCATGACAAGTGACTGCAGCCTGTTTCCTGAGACCCCATTATAATTATTCCCAGCAATTATAGCATCCAGAACCCCATTCCAGCCCCAAACACATTTGTTCCCATTTATTAGACTGTGAGCAGTAACTAATTTACATTGTTTCAGAGTTGTGTGTTATGGTAATTTATTGCGTGTGCTGGAGGTCAAACAGAGTTGACCAGTCGGCCGGGCAGACCCGCGCAAGGCGGGGACCAAGGGTCTAGAAACCGGGAGGCAGCGGGGCCGGGGGCACGTGATGTGAAAACTGCTACGGTCTTTTTAATCATGTTTTGATTTATTCTCTGTTACATTACTGGCTTTATCCTCTTGCTCCCTTTCTGTTTTTCAACAAATCAGAGCCGGGAACAGGATTTTTTTTTTTTTGAAGGAAATGGAAGCGATATCTTCTAACGAGTGGAAACTTTTACTAATGCCCTGAATAAAATATTTGTCAGCGGCCTCCACTAAATGTAAAAGCACTCCACAGAGGGAACAATGCCTTAACTGTTCCCTCTTCATCAGAGCAGGTTTCGTTATCAAGTTGAGGAAAAAGGCTTGTTTAGGCGAAAATAATGATCATAAATAGAGCTGTATAGCGGGGCTGGGAGGAAGTGGTGACAGTGCGTGCTATCAAGACCTGCAATTCCAAGGAAATATGAGTGTTCTGATCCAGGGAAGCAGTAATTATCTTTTTGTGAGGAATGTACAATGGTGTCGGATGATGAATTGATCGCAGATTGGGAGCGTGGTTTAACTGTCATGTACAGAGATAAGAGGGAGCCGCGGGATTGCTCATCGCTTGTGCTAGTTCACAGCCAGCCAGTTTATTAGCACAAATCCCAAATGTTTAGTAAACTCATTAGGTCCCATCTAATGCTAATTTATCATCATAGATGGAACCCTAGCAGTGGAGGGAGGCCGAGGACTGTACCGAATCCGTGTGATTTACGGAGCTTTCTGATCAATCACCTTCTTTGCACTGGCCGTTTTTCTTCAAATGCTTTAAACGGGCCTGAATGATCATAGGATTAGGCCCTGGCAATCGGTTAGGGTTCTCCCACCTTATCTTCCCCGTGATGGTTATCTGAAAGGTTACGAAATCCTATACAGTCTGACGTGGGGGGTGGGGTGGGGGTGGGGGGCTCTGGTTTTGGATTGCTTTGCCACCTCCCCCTCCCTTCCTCGCCTCTTCCTCCACCCCTGACAGCGCCCCCCCAGCCCTCCCCACCTTCCCCCTTCCTTTTGCAATCCAGCCACAGAGTCGAATTCAAAGAATTTTCCTTGCAGAATCAGTTTACCGAGAAATGCATCATGGTACATAAATGTCAAGCACAGTTTATTCTAAACTTCAGACAGTGTTTTTCTTTTAAAAAATCAAGCTTTAAATGCCCAGTTCTCCTGACATTTTCGTACATATTCTATAGTGTTTTCGAAGAGGATAATAACCTTTGCTTGATCCTAGGCAAC